CAGGAGGAGCAGGAGGAGGTCACTGAGGGCTCAGCGACTCACTTGGGCTTCATAGTTGGTCTAGCAGCCGTGGCAGTGTTTCTGCTGTGTTGTACTCTAGATGTGGTGTAGGTGGAAGGGGCTTGTATATTGGAATTTCCCATATTATCAACTAGTATGACTGCTGCTCAAACTGATACCCCTAGTAGTTGGAACTGCTACCTGTGTGTTCATCAACCTATGTGGACTTGTAATGACTGAAAATTACCACAAGAGGGAACCAGACCCACTTCTTGTATCTGTGTGTTTAATCATCTGTTGGAACTTTGATGAAAAGTAACACTGACAAAGACTTGGATAGGTTTAAAGCTGCTTTATTTTGCCACACTGCACTTTAATTCCATGCACAAAAGGGCTGAACTTGTCCATGAATCTATCATTGACCAGTGCTTTGGAGTAGTCTGGTCATGATCTTCTTCACGGTCACAGAGCACAGGAAGAACACCCGCGTCTTCGGAGACTCCAGGAAGAGGAACCACCTCCAAATCGTCCTCATCATAGGAGGACATGTACATCAGCACTGGGACACCCTCAGCTGCAGGATGCTCCACTGTGTAGGCCAGGCCTGGAAGAAGAAGAGAGACAGCACAGGATTTGTAGTGCCTCTCCTTCTGAGATTGAGGGTGTTGAGTAAATAGGCAAGAATGCATTTGTCAAAATGCCAGCAGATATAAAGGAGCAATCACTTTATCTAATACTTCATCAGATGACAGAAGCATGTTGAAAGGATCTGTCTTCCACTACAGTATGCATCAACATCCTTCAGAGAGAATGTTTAACACTCATTGTATTACAGTTTTAAAGATGTTATTCATGTTGCAGGCATTTGAACAAACCCCAGTTTAAAGCAGAGGTGTATTCATGCTGCATTCCTCTTACAGCTGCTGGTTTTGTCAGAGTTTACTAAGAGCCTTTTTGGACCTCAGTCATCAGTTATTCTACTTGTGACGAGTCCAGATGTCTGCTGTGAAAAAAGTGAAAGCACATTTTCCTCCACAGGATGTGTTTTCATAGTTAATCTTAACCAGCTTTGACTTTGTCGCTGTAGATTCTCATGAATGTTGGTTGTGCTGATAATGATCATGTCACAACTTTTAGTTCAACAACAAAAACAAGTCTGGTCGCCTTCAAATGAAGAACTTAGAAATTGTACATTTTCTTCACTGGACAGATTCCTAAACTTTTATGAACAGCAGAAAGTCACATTAATCTGAAGATCACCTTAACATTCACTAAAACTGTCACTTATTTTGTTTCTCTAATGATTCCAGCCTTAGATGCAGTTAAGGTTTCCACAATGAAACACGACTAGAAAAAAATGTTTTACTGTCAAACGAAGAATCTACCAACAGAAGATATTTAATTAAACCAACTTGATATTTTTGTTTAATAACTGCAAAATACTGATTTAGTATATAGTTAGCTTGTTTTTCATCCTTTAAAATATTTTAATCACAACTGCAACAATTGCAACCTTCACCAATAACTATTGTTTATGAATTATTTTTAGAAAATATCAAATCCCCTAAAATCTACAAATTTTCCTCCAAAATACAGTCCTTTATTAATTCTTTTTATCTGTGAGTAAAGAAGATAAGACAAGATAAGATAAGATAATCATGTCAATCATGTTATAACATAGTCATGTTCAACAAATGGTGGCACACATGGACACAGCGCCCCCTTCAGGAGGCAGCGACAGTGAACGTTTGGTGTCTTATCCCAGACGTGCATTCTGCAAAACTTGCTGGTTGAATAATCCTGAAGAAACGCTCTCTCATCTTGCCTGTACTACTGTGTATGTACAGCAAAATGACAATAAACTTGACTGGATTTGATTTGATAAGAGAAGATAAGCTTTATTTGTCACATACACATTCATACATAGTACAATGTGCAGTGAAATGTATTTTTTACCAGTCTTGCACAGTCCAGTTTTAAAGCTCAGAGTTGAGCAAACGGATGGCCTGAGGGAAGAAACTCTTCCTCATTCTCTCAGTGGCAGTCTTTAGGCAACGATAACGACAGCCTGACGGCAGCAGGGAGAGGAGAGAGTTTCCAGGATGGCAAGGCTGCCTCAGGATCTTCACAGTCCTTGACCTGCATCGTTGGGTGTAGATGTCCTGCGGGTTGGGGAGGGTGGATCTGATCGATCAGCTGAACGGACCATCCTCCTCAGGACCAAGAAGTCGTGCTTGGTGCAGCTGCCCATCCAGGTGGTGATGCTCTCAGTGGTGCAGGTGTAGAAGTTCCTGAGCACTGTGAGCAGGAGCTTGAAGTCTCTCAGGCGTCTGAAGTAGAAGAGACGCTGTCTGGCCTTCTTCACAGTGGACTTTATGTGAAGTGACCAGGACAGGTCCTGTGTGATTGTCACACCTAGATATTTAAAATTGTCCACTCTTTCCACCTCAGACCCACTGACGTGACGTGGATGGAAGACCCTCTGCTTCCTGTTGAAATCCACAGTCAGTTCCTTAGTTTTGCTGACATTCAGCAGGAGA